ATCGTACCATTCCTTGCAGAAGCGCATCCCCGCGGTCGACATGGTTGCTCCGTCCGTCCAAACGAAAAAGGACTGGTGCTGATACCCAAGCCGTTTCGAAAAAGAGCACCCATTCTCGTAATTGCTCCTGTTTTACGCACCATCTGGGTGCGTGTAGTGGCACACGTCGAAACGTCGTACGCGTGCTAGCGGGCCGTTGGAGCATTCAATGTTCCAATGCACTGCTACAGCAATGGCTACCGTGATCGGCGGCTGCGCTGCACCATGTGTCGCTGCTTACAGAGCGGAGCTCGTTGCGTTGCATCTATGCGCTAAAGCAATGACTAGTTATACCTCTGTGCCTTTGCCTCCGTGCGATGCGTGGCACTCTGTATGTACCTGGGTTCTTTGTCTGCCGTCTGCCAAGATGCTAACTACCGGTTTCTCTGCTGTAGGAGATGGTCTGATAGCCGAGGACTCTGCGCTGCAATGGTATGTTCATGGTTACGGAAGGCGCGAAGATGTGGTGCACGCATTGCTGTTCATGGTCGGCGACGCCGCGGTGTCCGACTGCGAGCACACCTGACGTGTAGCGCTGCTGGAAGCATGACGTGTTCTGTGTCAACAACTGCATGGGCTGTTATTATAGTAGCACTCGATAGACTAGAGACAGTGTCGTCGTATTGGATGTCCCCTCGCAATTGTTGCACTAGCGCTGTGAGATTCCAGCGCAGATGAAAGCAGGCAAGGGTGTGTCTATAGCGGCCGAAAAAGCCATTTCCCCATGGATAAGGCGGGAAACACGCTTCTGTGTGGCGCAGTCGATCTCTTCTATCTCTACGATCTAAGCTACTACTGTGGACTCCAACGTCAATTGCAAACTGGCACCAGAAAAGACTGGTGCCAATAGACTTGCCATTGGATTGGCCAAAAAGCATGGAATATTTGTGGTAAATACGCCGTTCACGATTTGGATTGGCTAAAAGTCGTCGCGTGTCGACGCCGTCACAGCACCAGCGCTCGGTGGGTCTTCGACGGACTCTCGCCCATCGCGCTGTCGTAGCCGCGGCCGTCAATGGTCGAGGTAGAAGCCATACGTGTATGTGCACTCGACTTGCGCTTCATTTCGACTCACACACGACGACGACCATCTATTACTGCTATCGGAACGGCTCACTGCAACATCATCCTGCTCACTTGCTCTGCATAATGTTGAGCACCTTGACCATGAACTCTTGCTGCTGGCGGTCGCGCTCAAGCTCGGACGCCATGCGGCGCTCTTCCGCAGCCGTTCGTCGCTCCTCCATCTCCTTCTCGGCGAGCATGCGGCGCTCTTCGCGCGCGTCGTCAATCTCCATGCGCCGCTGGAGGTACTCAAAGATGGACTTGAACTCGTCGCGCGTCGGCGGCGTCGATGCAATCGCGGTGCCCGTGATCGAGTCCATGAGCCGCTCGCGCTTTGAGATGATGCGAGCCAGCGCCTTTCCTTTGCGCTTGCGCTTGTTCTCGATCGACTCGGCGTCCTCGTGGAGGTCCCCGAGCACCTTGTGCGAGACGTCGCCGTCGCGGCCGTCGCGGTACTGATCGATCTGCTCGTACATGTTGCGCAAAAGGCGCTCGCGCTCGTCGTACTCGTCGTCCGTGCCTGTCTTGCGCAGCATCTCTTTCTCGCCGCCGATCGTCATGCGCAAAATCTTCTCGAACCGCGTCTTGCAGGCCGGTCCGTCCTTCTTGACGCCAAAGCCGCGCGTGCGCATGAGCGTGTCGGCGATCTCGGCCCAGTAGAGCATGATCTCGCCGCTCGGGGCCGTCCATGGCTTGCGGGCGTTGACCGCGCGGCAAAGAAGCACGTCGTCCCAGGCGTTGAAGGACTTGCGGAGGACGGCGCCGCCAGACGCAATGTCGAGCGAGTTCTTGTTCGTGCCCAGTGGCAGCGAGAGGTCCACGAGCGCTTGGGTTGGGGCTTGCAGGAGGCTTGTCGTACTCATCATCGGGCTCGAGTCAACTCAACACCACAAGTTTTGAGAAAAAGAAAACTGACTCTCAAAACTCAAACCGAACCCAAGAAAAAGCCGTGGCCAATCAGTGCGCCCTTGTTGAGTTTGAATGGTACTGCCACATCCTTTTTTAAATTCATACAAAAACCAAGTGAGATCCATCGACGCTTCATTAAATGACAAGCGAGGCGTCGAGTTTCGAAATTATTGCGCGACGAATCTTTGAGGCCGCACGTTAAATGCGTTTTTCCTCCCACGCAGGGTTCGTCGCGGTGGAAACAGGCGTTAAACCAGGGCGCTCATGAGCAGGTCACACAAATGACTGTGTTAGATGTCCGTGAGCCACGCATGGTGCTATACAAGATCACAAGATGCATCGAGACCACGGCCAAGCTCAACTCAACCCGCCCCAACCATCCGCATAAAGCAAGTATCATCCGGATAGAACGGCGAGCATCATCTCTTTCGACGTGGCAGCGCCAGAGGGCAGAATTCGAGCGCGAGCAGAACTGTCAGCTAGAACAACCAACATCGCGGCTTCCTGCACTGCAATAACATACTACTGTACTACATGGCAAGCTCCTTCTTGCCCTACTGATATACTTGAAATGAATAGAAAACGTAGTTCAATTAGCACACCGAAACCTAGCTCAAACCACCAAGCACCTTAGGCGACAGCGTTGTAGCCCTGGCGGCGGTAGCACTGCGCAAGCGCAGCGACAAGGAGGACACCGACGGCAATCGCACCGCCAATGATCCACCACGAGACGCCGCTGGCCGCCTCGTCCGTGCCCGCCTTGACCTGCACGCCCACCGGCGACAACGTCGACGACACAATCGTCGCGGCCTTGGGGAACATCTGCAGCGTAAAGGCCGCGCCGACCTCGAGGTGGAGGTCTCCGATCGTCACCACGTTGCTCGTGGCGTTGTACGTGGCGTTGGCCACGCGCTTGGTCGAGCCCTTGGTGTACTCGACAGTGAGCTCGGCGCTGGCCGCAATGCCGCGCGCGCCGTAGACTTCAATCGTCGCGAGCGGGACCGTCGTCTCGGGGCCGGTAAAGCCGCTCGCGGCCACGGCACCGACCACCTCGAGCATGCCGTTGGGAAAGTGCTTGGCCGCATACGTCATCAGCGAGAACGCCTTGGTCGTCAGCGGGTTGAGCGAGTCGCCCGCGTCCATGTAGAGGTCGCCCGTCGCTTCCACGTGGCTGTCGTTGGCCGCGTCGGCAAACGCAATCTTGAGCGCAAACGGGTTCTTGCGACTCGCGGCCGTCGTCGTGCTGGGCTCCTGCAGCGTCACGATCGAGCCGCCCTTGATGAACATGGGCACCGTGTCCAGAGGCGCTTCCAAGACCAAGTTGGCCGACGTCGTCGTGTTGACGCGCAGACCGTTCCAGAGGTCAAACCAGGTTGCCGCCTGAGGAAAGTAGGCCGCCACCGTCGACGCCTTCTCTTCGAGACGGGGGCCACCATGAGCGCCGAGCCAAGCAGGTACTGCGTGTCAATGGCCAAGGTCGCGAGGTCGTCCGGGAACTCAAAGTAGAGCGACCGCGCCGCCGTCACGCCGTCCGCCGACGCGTGGTACAGCTGCGTGTAGAGGTACGGAAGGAGTGCGTAGCGCTTGAAGAGCGTCGCGCGGATGATGTGGAGCGCCTCGTCGTCAAAGTCGACCGGTGCTTGGTCGATCGTGGCTTCGTTGTGGTTGCGCATGAACGGGAAGAGGACCGCGGTCTGGTGCCAGCGCACGCAGAGCTCCTTCGTCGTATCAAAGGAGAAGCCGCAGACGTCCGGGCCCACCATCGGCATGCCAAACATGTTCATCGCAAGAACGCCGGCAATCGAGTACTTCATGTCGGGCCACGTGGCGCCATTGTCGCCGAGCCAGTGCGCCGTGTACTGCCCGTCGCCGGCAAAGGTCGAGCGCGCGAGAATGAACGAGCGCTTGCCGCGGATTTGGTCGATGGCCGAGCGCGTCGCCATGATCTCCGAGTGCCCGTAGAGCGAGTGCACGTTGTAGTGAATCGAGTTGTAGTGGTGCGAGCCGAGCGCCGCCGTCTGCGTCGCGAGGTTGCCGAGCACTTTTTGGCCCGGGACGTACGACTGGCGGTACGGGTCAAAAGGCGCTTGCACGTCGGCCGACTTGACAAACGACGCGGGCACAAAGCTGTCGTTGAACATGCACGTGCGCGACTCGCGGCCGCCCTCGACGCAAAAGCTGCTGGGTTCGTTCATGTCGAGCCAAATGCCGTCGTACTGCGCGGTCGCGTAGTAGCGTTCGAGCTGCTTGTGCCAGTAGGCCGACGCGTTCGGGTGGAAGAAATCCGGAAACGCCACCATGCCGGGCCACACCTTGTTCTCTTCAATGCCAACGTTGGCCGGGTCCTTCATGTACACGTCCATGGCCAAGCCCTCGTCGTAGGACACGTAGTCGTCGTACTGGTTGCTAATGCCCGCGTCCACAATCGGCACGTAGTGCTGGCCATGGGCGTGGAGGTCGTCGATGAACGCGGAAAAGTTGGCTTGGGGAAAGTGCACCGGGTCCCATGTAAAATCAAGCCACTTGTCCATGACATCAATGTCGGTCCACTGGCCGTCCTGTGGCACGCCGGCGGCGCGCATGCGGGCAACGACCGAGGTCACGTCCGACATTTCGTGGTTGTGCCAGCGGCAGAGGTGGTAGCCGAGCGACCAGTACGGCGGGAGCGCCGGGCGGCCGACGAGCTTCGTGTACTGCTGCACGACGTGCGACGGCGCGGGTCCGAGAAACACAAAGAAATCCAAGACACCGCCGACCGTGCGAAAGGTGAGCGACTGGTTCTGGGCCACGACCTCCATCGCGTTCGAGTTGACGAGGAAGACGCCGTGCGTCTTGCCCGACGCTTCGCGGCGGATGTAAAAGGGATGCACGCCATACACGTTGTCGCTGCCCACTTTCGTGTGCGCGTGGTACATGTTGGCGACCTGGTCGCGGGCAAAGATCGTGTAGTGGTCGCCGTCGGTTGGCGCTAGGAGCGACCCGACGTGCTCGCCCATGCCGAAAAAGTTGGCGCGCGACGGTGTCGACGTCGAGAGCTCAATGAACTGGTTCTCGAACACAAGGCCGTTGAAGGCGCCGCTGGGCGTCGAGTTGAAGAGGACTTCGCCCGTCGCGCGGCGCGTCACCGCGATACCAAACGGCGCGTTCGTGACGCTCACGTCGTACGTCCGGTTGAACTTGTGGCCCGACGGCTTGAGGCCGTGGAGCTTGATCGGGACTTCGTAGCGCGCAAAGTTCGGGTCCGTGATGCGCACGCGCACATAGTTCTTGTGCTCCGTGTTGACATTGAGAGCGAGCGTGCGGATGTCGTTGCCAAATGGACCGCGCGCGCCCTTGGGCAAGACGAGCGTCGCCGTAAAGCCCTTGGATGTCTCGCGCCACGACGACTCGTTGAGGCGGTAGCCTTCAAACGCCGGCTGGAAGCACTCGGACGACGAGGCGTCAAAGCAGCAGCCCATGGCCGCACACACGTCCGACGAGTTGGCCGACGGAAAGTAGCGCGGGTTGCGGCACGCCATGCGCGACGACTTGACGACCGCGCTGCAGGCCGAGGGCGCCGGCGTCGGGAGACCGCCAAACGCGCAGGGCACGTCGTCCTTCGGGTCCCAGCAGCAGCCTTGGGCCAGGCACGACTCGGCGGTCGCGTTGGGAAAGGCGGCCGTCGGCGGGTAGCAGTCGATGCGGTTCGTGGGCACGCGCGAGCACATGCTGGTCGGGTCCTCGACCAAGGCGGCGGCGGCGCCGACGAGGCCAACGACAAGGAGGCGCTGCAGCATCGAAGGGTGGAGCTGCTGGCGACGAGGCAAATTCGAGACTGGCTGGCGATCGAAGCCTTTGCAATCTTTGGCCACGCGCGATGCCATTGGTCGAAAACCAACGAGACCATCTGTGATTGGCGCAGGGATTATTTACCACTTTGGTATATTAATATGCAAATTATATGCGGGTTTTGTAGGAACTAGAGGGAGTCGAATAAAATAAAATACGACCTTGAAGTTCCGACCACCTGGCGCGTTGATTTTGCGAGCCACCCAACTGCTGGATATCATGCTCAAGATTTCAGTGGGTGTGGATGCCTGCCTCGTCGCCATACCAGCGCGATCGCATGGGCGGTCGCCGCGAAATGCTTGGCGCAATATGGGCCGCCACCTGGGCCACTTGATTTCTGGCATAAATCCAGTGAGACCATGTGGCAGCAGCCGTAGAGTCTGCGCGGAAATGGAGGCGTGCGACGACTCGAGGATACGTTTCCCGTCCACGCCACTGCGACCAGTTGTAGGTCGTCGTCTGGCATGGTCCGGAAAGTACGTTGCGCGTCCATAGGATGGGATGCAAAGGGAAAGACGTGGACACGCAAGTGCAAGTGCTAACTGGGTGCACCTTGCCACGTGGGTGGAAATCCAGTTGAAATATGGTCGGTATGGCGCACAGACACCGCGGCGTGGATCCGTCCTTTCTACGTCCGCCGCCACTGACGTGTGGATGGCGTTTACACGACTCGTGAGCTGTCGCACCTCTCTTCGTCGGTTCTGAGCAAGCGTGGTACGGACGACGGTGAAATTGTATGGTGGCGACGCACGTGGCGTTGTGCTTGAAACCCCAAGGTCATCATGGAACGAGCTCTGCGATGCGAGGACGAAGCCGTGTAGTCTGCGGTACGTCCGAGCGCGGTTCTTTTGACGCGGGGAAGTGCAAGGTGAACTTCAAGTTGCAACTTCAAGCGAAGCGCACCCAAGCGCTGCGTTGACATTGCCGTCGCAAGCGTCGTAGCGAGACGCAGTGGCATGCGCTGTCAGTGTAGCAGACAAGGAAGCAGCTCACAGCGCCCGCCGTGGAGCGTGTACAGTGTATGACTCGGCCTGCACCGTGGTATCGTCTCCCAGCGTCAGGTGTCAACTATTCTGCTCTGTCAAATATCCTGCATTTGCCGCGCATCGGCCTAGTACTGCGGCATACCGGTAATAGCGTTTGAGAGGAGCGAGCCGAACGATCCATCGCAGACAAGACCTCGTCGACAGGCTTCACTCCAACTGTTGTCGTGCACATTATTGTACCGTGCCAAGGGCTCATGACGAGCACGTACAGTAATGCCGATCATACTATCATCGACGCGACGACGACAGGTCGCCGTCCATAGCGGAGCTAACATTACTATTGTACTTACACATGTGAGCTCACACGATTCAGAATCTGAATCGCGTTTACCACAGGTGCGCGATCGGATTGGCGACGGCAACGGTACGAGGTCACGAGCCGAGGCAGGAGGGCATTGGTCCGCACGTTGTTCTACCGGCGCACTTGGTCGTACACGTCGCAGAGATGCTTGTAAACGGCGGCGCCGACACGACCCATGTGCACGCGAGTGCCCGGGTTGTTGCGCCGCATGAGCGTCTCGAGTTGTGGCCACAAGTACCAGAAGCTGCTTGGCGCTATGAAGTCGCGCAGCGCTCGGAACCGGTGGCTGGCGCCGACGAGGTACCATTTGCGCCCGCGGGAACGATCTTCGACGCGTGGCATGTCGCACCAATGGCCATGGGTACGTACGTCGTGAGCCACACCGGCATGTTGGCGACCATCTCGTACGACGGCGTCTCCAAGATGCGCTTGTCCGTCGGTGTTTTGGACCAATGGCGCCACACGTCAAACCAAAAGGGATGGAGCGTCGACGCTCGGATGCACTTGCAGCCGATATATGGCTGGTAGGACAGAAAGTCGAACGGGCTCGAGTCGCGGTGTAGAAAGCACGTGGCAAATTGACGGAGGACCAGCGGCACGCACAGAGGCCGCTCGTCGTCCTGCATGTGCTGTTGCAGAGAGAGCAGACGCTGCGTCCAAATCGTGGCCGGCGCCGAGTCCGACGTCGTGGTGCCACGATGTGTGCAGTATCGACGGGTACGGCTCGGTCGGGTCGCGCTTCCTGCCCAGCACGTACCGCGTGAGCATACGCTGCGGCGCGACGACGGCGACGGCAGTCAAATGCCACAAGATCGACGTCATGACGGACGCCGCAAGGAGCCGCCGGCGTCTTTTTCGTCTGCTGAGTCGACCTCGTCGATTTCGTCGTCGGGGTCCCCCGGGTCGGACTCCGCGCCATCTGCGTCGGCCATGGCAGGTCTGACAGCTTGCCTGTCGAGCGCAGTGGCAGGCTCAGTTGCATCGGCCTCGTCGAGGAGGACGGTGGCACACTTGGCAACGTTCAATGCCGCGCCTGACGCCTTGCAGAACTCATCGACAATAAGCATCTGGGCTTGAGCGGCCGCCTGTGAGTGCGACAGCAGTCCGCGGAAACATGCTCGTCATCGACGTGCCGTCGCCTTGACGGATGCCGTGCTCGGGCGCATCAGGCGGAGCAGCTCGATCGAAAGGACAAACAGCAGACACGACAACAGGCGCCCTCGCTTGACGCCCCGTGTGGGCCGGATGGCCGGTCCATGATCGTCGTGCAGGAGCAAGTGGACGATTTGGTCGGTTGAAAACAGTTGGACCACACAATAAAGCCGTAGCCGATGTTCTTCGTCGCCATCGCGTTGAAGAGGAACGGCTGGTCGACCATGTCGTACGCCTTCTGAAAATCAAGAAAAGTGGCGCACGCGTCGCTACCTGCCTCCGTCGCGCCATGCTGTAGCGCGTGGAGCAGGTGCACTTGGTCGTGGAGGCGCCGGCCGCGGACGAATCCAGCCTGGCTGGCGTGGATCAAGTCCGGCGCAACTGCCGACAACCGGTACGCGAGCGCCCGCAACAAAATCTTAACCTCGACGGCCATGAGTGCGATTGGACAGTAGTTACCTTAGTAGTGCCCTTTATGTCGAGGAGAACGATCGTGCTGCGCCGCTGGTGGTGGAGCAGCTTCCCTTGGTGCTGTTGTTGGTAATCGAAGATGAGCAGCAGATTCTCGTAGACCGTTTCGGGCGCTGTCTGGAAAAATCCTGCGCTAAAGACAACCGGTCCTGGCGACTTGCCGGGATTCATCGTCTCGAGCGCGGCACAGAGCTCGTGCGCCTCCAGCGGTCCAGGTCTCGGCGTTGGTCGGCCGTCAGCGCGCGGTCGAGGAATCGCAACACGGCACGCCGCGTGGCTCGGTTGGGCGCTCGCGCTTGTTGTGGTGCCTTCATGATGCGCTGCCAGTACTCCATGAGAATAGAAGCCACGCGCTTGGGGGCCAGAGTTGCCGTCGCTATGGGTGCCTTGTTCGTCTCAGGGGTACATAAAATGGTTCGTCGAAGGCTTGCGATAAAAGAACGAGCTGCTCGTCTCGCCCTTGTTGAACTAAGCATCGCAGTAATTTTGACTGAGAGCACGCTCTGCCGAATCGGACGAGGCATTGGATGTTGCGGCGGCGTCAGCACTACCGGAGCTATACCCGTCTCATAATCTGAAGGCCGCCAGTTCG